CAGACTCAATCCTCGATATATCCAGACTCAAGGAGTTTGCAAACTTTTCCATGGAAAATTCGACTGTTAAAGTTTAATTTTATTAGAGTTGAGTCAGATATATCAACATACTGGTGTCAATAGTTTTTTATTTGTAATTAACAAGATATAATTCTTTTTATACATCCAGACTCAATCCTATTTGTGCGAATATTGGTATTTGTAGTAGAGTATCGACATATAACCTTAAACTGAAAGGTGATGTGATACACTTAGTAGGCAAATGCCCAATTTTTAAAGAACACAGAATGCTGTACTTCAGTAAACCTGCGCTCGATGTTAATGAAACCATACTGATACATGTGGTAAACTTCTCAATTAACACATTACTATACAATGCAATATAAAAATACATATGTCTTTATTGACGCCCTTCTGACAACTGTCATTATCTTCGTTCTAGTGTTGTACAAAGTCCGTTTACTACAACACTGAATGGTCTCAACTGGAGATTGTTAGCGGCTTTTATTAAAAATGCATTAGAATATAGGCAAAATATTATTACCGAAGATAATTAAATGAATTTATTTGAATGTACTATATTTGGTATAATAATTTAATTTTAATATTTATATTGTATTGGGTTTATACGTAATAATATTTATTTAATATTTATAAAAACTAGTTATTAGATTAATCTAAACTTCCGACAGACGGCTAAAATGACATAGCTGTAAGCTTTATATATATAATATAATTGTTAATAATTTTTATATAATGCAACAAATTTAAAATGAAGTAAAAATAAAGCTAATAATACTACTAATACTATAAGATTATCCGTTTCGTGGCACTGACAGCACGAGCTTAGTCACATAAATCAAATAAAACTATCATCCAAGGCATTATATGCTTATTTTAATTTTTGGCGATTAGAATGTTAATCCCTTTTTGTCAGTAGGTGTAGAATATGGCAAATCACTATATAAGACTTTTACCACTGAAACCACTTTTTAAGAATGGATTGTTGCCAAAAACACATGTTCATTCCGATTAATTATTTATATTGATCATTTAAAGACTGATAAGGTGTTGAAGAGTATAGAATGTAACTCGATTTTTTCAAATGTTTTAGACATGAAAGAAGTAACAGCAGAAATAACGCAACCATTATGCTCTCCAGACATGACTCTATGTGACTTTTTTCTTATTTTCAAATTTCAGGAAATATTCCAAAATTAATATTTTTCAAGAATAGATAAGATGAAAACGTAATCACAGAACAAACACACAACCGTATCTAAAAAGCTCCTTTAACTATGCCATAAAGTATATAACATCAAAGAGAGCTACTTTGATGGAAAATAATTGGGGAATTTGAACATTATAGTTCTTTATAACTTCAAATTGTGTATCGTATATTTTTAAAATACTTAATTATAGAATATTGGTTTATATTGAGTAATTATTTTTGTAATAAAATCTTGTTGGTAGCCATATCTCTCTCAACACTAATCCAAATATGTCACTATGTTTTAAAGGTGACGTTTTAGGTTACATTTCTTTCTGAAGCCAGTTGTATCATTCGCTGCCTATATAAAAATAGTTAAATGGATTTGAAAATGAGTGAACAATTTAATAAAATATATATTATAATACTTCACTGCTATAAAAATAAGTTAACTGATGTAAAGTCATACTGAAATTTTTTATTGATTTACGATAAGGATGGTGTGAGCCACGCTCAGGAGTGATTTGCTCGATTTCGTTCCGGACATTTCATTATCAGAGAAATATCTCACTCTTATTGGTTAGTCATTAAAAAGCCGATGAAATTTTGAAAGCTGTAAGGTAAGAACGCAACGCAACATATCAGGAAATAGTGAATGCGGTTAACATAAACCACATTGCAGTTTGAAATTATTTATAAAGACGACCACAAAGAGTACTCTATTATGAGCTTCTTTAAACTTGTGCAAGGGTGAATTCGTTCATTTACTGCAGATTAGTACAAGAATGTATACAATTTTCAACGCACTAAGTGAGAGGTCAAAGGTAACTCCAGTTTGGGTTCCCGGGCATTCTAATATAATTGGTAATGAAAGCACAGACAAGCTTGCTAGACTGCCAGTTACAGTCAGAGATTGATTTATGTTCACTTTTTTAAACAAGCTAATAATGAGTGAGC